CAAACAAAAAACTATTAAAAAAAAAAAATAAACCGTCGGTCGAAACTTTTTTGTTTTTTTTTTTTTTTTTAACGTCGTCTACAGCAAAAGACAAAACAATACCTTAATAAAAAAAAAAAAAAATTATGACGTATAAGGTTCGATCGATCGAACGGTATGAATTTTATACAAAATTTTGTTTAATTTAACGATTTCGTTTAACGAAACTTCAGATGCTGACACGTTTTTTTTTTATTCGTTATTTTCAAAAAAATTTAAAAACAGCAACGATGACGACGATGACGATGACCATTGGAATAATGATGATAATAATAATAAAGATAATAATAATGATGATAATAATAATGATTAATATTAATAATAATAGGTAAATAATCATTACCGCGAATATATATATACATGACGAATGTTTGACGTGATTTAATTTTTTTTTTTTTTTTTCGTTACGTGGTAGCAGACAAAAAGGCGTCGTCGTCGTCGTTGTCGTTGTCGTTTTATCACGATTAAAAATTTACTCATTTCTTTTTTTTTTTTAAATTTTTTATTAAGTCAATTCACGAATGATTATTATTATTATTATTATTATTACATGAGTAATTCAAATCCTAGGAAACAAAAAAAAAAAAAAAAAAAAAAATGAAAATGACTAATAAAGGCTGCTTCAATTATAGTGTGATTAAGAAAAGTTCAGAGGTTGGCAAGACTGTTTTTTAATTTATAATAGAAAAGGAGGAGAAGCAGAAGCAGAAGCAGAAGAAAAAGAAAAAGAAGAAGAAGAAACGATAAATTAAAAGGGGATGATGATGATGATGATGGATGCTGCTGCTGATGATGATGATGATGATGATTAATGATGATGATGATGATGATGATGATGATTACGATGACGATGATGATGATGATGATGATGATTACGATGACGATGATGATGATGATGATGGTGATGATAATGATGATGACAATGATGTTGATGAGATTTTTTTTTATTTTATTAAAACGACTAAAAATTCAAAAACGATAGAAAAAAAAAATTTTTTTTGCAACTTTTTTTTATGTAACGCCATTTCTCGTTTTATCAATTTTCCCCTCCCCTCCCCTACACATCCCCTTCCCTCCCCCTTTCGCTGCACTCCCCTAAATATTAAAATTGTTTTTACTGGATTGTAGGGCAAATTAATTAAAAAAAAAAAAATTAATTTTCCAACTCTAAACACGTTTTTTCATGCTAATTTTTTTTTTTTTTTTTATACGAAATAATAATAATAATAATCTATCAAAAAGGTGATTTAAATAAATCGATTATATATATTTTGATTGATTTCCAACGGGAAGAACGAGTAATACATACAACATTAATATTAATGTAATAATAATAATAATATGTGTCGTTTTAATTAATGGTTCGAAAGTGAAAAAATTATTTAAAATAACGTTATTATATAATTTACGACATGTTTTCATACTACTTTTTTTTTTTTTTTTTTTTGTTTTTTTTTTTTAATTTGATTAATTTAATGGAAAAATTTAAAAAAAAAAAAAAATACGTAATAAAATTAAATTGATAATGATTTAAACGAGAGAGAGAGAGAGAGAGAGAGAGAGAAAACTTTCGGAGTTTACAAAATGGAGGAAAAAAAGAAAAAAAAACAATTTATCGTTTAAAAGGTCTTTTCAACAGTTTTTAACAGAAAAAAAAACATGAAAAAAATCATTTTAAGCAGACGACGTCGGCGTCAATATTTAATTTACGCAATTTTGTTGGACGAACGTCGACGTCGTCGTCATCGTCCTACACTTGATCGACTTGACGCCAATGGCAACAAGTCGAGGACGAAAAGTTAGTACTATACTAACAATACAAAATTCAAAACAATTTTTCTTTTTTCCCCCCCCCCCTGTTCGCGCTAAAAAAACCTTTGAAAAAAAAACGACCAAGACGACAACTACCGGACATTTTAATTAAATAATAATAATAATAATAATAATAATAATAATAATGATAATGATAATAATAATAATAATGATGATGATGATGATGATGATAATAATAATGGAAAAATTGACATGAATAATTTTCTTTCATTCAGATTACACCTCAATCAAAAAATTTTTAAACACACTCTTTGTTAATTTCAATCGCAGTATTGCCAATTATTAAAACAAAATATGTGTATATAATAATAATAATAATAATAATAATAATAATAATAATAATAATAAATGAGTTTTCATCATTTTCCCAGTCCAAAGTGACTTATTAATTTTGTCATGTAGCCAAAAAATTTTTTTTAAACGGATCCCCAAAATTGTAAATTTTTTTACGGTTTTCATATTCACCCGACCGACACGTAAACGCACGCACACGCACACACACGCACACGTACAAATTCAGTCATCTCGTTCCATTCATAAAACCGACGATGCGCACACACACACGCACACACACTCATCGTGACAAAAAAAAAAAAAATTATGTAACCGATATATTTGTAATAAAAAAAAAAACAAAACATAAACAATGAATGTTAGAGAGAGAGAGAGAGAGAGAGAGAGAGAGAGATGGGAAAAAGATTTAAAAAAAAAAAAAATTTTTTTTCGTCTCATTTCCGGTGTGTGTGGCTAAATGCCACGTTTTCAAAATTTTTGAAAAAAAATCCAAAAATTATCGTTTAAAGTATCGTAATCGTCATCATCATCATCATCCGATCGCGCGCGCGCGCCATCATTTAAAATATCGTGGCAATAGAATTGAAATCGTTTTTTTTTTTTTTTTTTAAATTGTAATTTTTCACCGACCGTTACTCATCATAACTTACTTTCGCCTTTTTTTCACTTTCGAAAATAATAATTTCGTAAAAAAAAAGGAAAAAAAGGGAAAAACGTCATAATTTTAAATACGTTTCAAATCAGAAAAAATTATTTAAAAAAAAAAAAAAGGCGGGAAAAAAAAGTGAAATTTAAATTTTTTAAAAACCAATTCCCGTTCTTTTTATAGTGACTAGTCATAGAGTAATTTATATTATAAATGTATCAAACGGTCTCTCCATCCTCTCACATTTTTCAAATAAATTATTATTATTATTATTATTACTAACGTTTTTTTTTTTTTTTTTAAATGAACGTCCATAAACGATATTTGTCGTTTGTTACCTTTTTTGGTTTGCCACGTTCATTCAATCTTTTACCCTTTATGGTCAACTTTTGCAAAAAAAAAAAATTATTTTTGTCTTTTTTTTTTTTTTGGTTTGTGTTATACGAGATAAAAAAAAAAAAATCTAATTATAAATCTACGTGAGTCACTAGAGTTTGTTTGTTTGTTTGTTTGTTTGTTTGTTGTTGTTAAATTTTAATAATTCTAAAAGTGCAACAATTACGTACCACTCTTTGAATAATAAAATTGTTTCGGATTAATAAATATATATATATACATCATGTTTTTCTTTTTAAAAAAAAAAAGTAAATCGTCATTTATCATTCTGAGAATATTATAAATAAAAAAAAATGACCAAATTATTTCCATAAATTGATAAATTAAAAGAAAGAAACCTTTTTTTTTTTAAACCATAGAGAAAGTGAACGCGTGAAATAACTTTCGCGCCAAAAAAAAAAAAAATTAAAATTTCATTTTTTTCATATAACCGGGAAACAAAACATGGGAGAAAATAATAGAATGAGACAGAGAGAGACAAACGCATACAAACGCTACCACCCACTTGTTAACCTTTTAATAAAAAAAAAAACAGGAAAACAACCTTTGAAAAAAAAAAAAAAATTATTATCCCTTTAAATGTTTTTTATTGTTGTCGTAGTTTTTAACAGACGACGTTTGTTGACTAATCGTTTAAAAGTTTTCTTTTTATACAATTGATATAAAACGTTGTTTTTTATTATTAATAATAATAATAATAATAATAATAATAATAATAATAATAAATTCAAAACAATAACTTTCGGTTATAAAATAAAAGAAAAGAACAATAAATAATATAAATTTTTTTTTTTTTTAACTTCCGCCAATGATAAACCTCTATATAATTTTTTTTTTTTGTTTTTCTCTCTCTATCGGGAAATTTTGTATTGTGTCATAGAGTAAAAAAAAAAAAAAAGCGTGCAAACTGATGGTTCAAGGTTTAAAGTTCACCTTTTGCTCTTTAAAATTTTTTTTTTTTTTTTTTTAATGTTTAGCTTATTGCGTGCGTGTGTTAATAATAACACCTTAGTAAAAAAAAAGTTTTTTTTTTAAACATTTCCTCGACTTCGTTTTTTTTTTTTTTATTGTTTAAACCAAATCGACGTAAAAACCTTGAACCTGGAAATAGTTAATTGACAATCTCTTTACAAAAAAAAAAAAAAAAAAAGATATTTATAAAAGTTAAGCGGGAGCAATTAAAAAGCAGAAGACGTAAAAAAAAAAAAAAAAGTTCTTGGGCGCCGATGCTGAATAAACAAATCGTTTTTAAAAATAAAAAAAATTTTGCTGAATTTTAAATATATCGAAAATTTGTTTTTTTTTTTTCCATAGAGAATACAAACGAAGTCAGAAAATCGTCTACTAACAAACAAACAAACAAACAAACAAAAAAAAGGAAAATTCAGCAGCGTTTGTATTTTTAAGTTTATAAAAAACGAAGAAATCCGACAAAGACAAAAACGCACACGAAAATTTCTCCTATTCCCCTCCCTTCCTCCCTCCCCTCTCCTGCCTCTCTCTCCCCCGCATTTAACAGTATCATCATCATTATTATTATTACTTTTTTTCCTTTTCACGTTGTAAAATAAAAAATAAAAAAATTCATGTTTTTTTTTTTTTTTTTATGGTTAATTTCTTTGACAGTTGGAACGAACTGTTAGTTAACATAAGAAACACAAACTCCCACTAAATAATTCTATAAATTCTGTTTTCTCGTTTGTTTGTTTGTTTGTTTGTTTGTTTGTTTAATTTCTTTTTTTTTTTTCGTTTTCGTTTTAGTTAAAAAAAAGTTAAAAATGGTTTCTTTCTTTTACACGAAAATAAAAAAATTTGAATGTAGTAATAATAATAATAATATATTTAAACTTACCATTCCGTGGCATAAACTAACGGCAACAGACGATGAGGGATCTCCTTTTACTTGTCCTTTATAAAAACAACCGTTTGATTTTATGCTTGGTAATTTTCTTGCCGATGTGTTGTGCCATATGTGAGTCACCTGAAGAGAGAGAGAGAGAGAGAGAAAACAAACGTAAGGTACATCATAGAGAAAAGTTTTCCCAAAAGAAATTTTGTTTGTTTCGTACCTGAAGATCCGGGGATGCAAATTTCGAATCGTGTTGTAATATCAAATTGAATTTTTTTTTAAAAGCCGTAAATTCGTACATCGGATGGGGATCCCATATGTTTGCCGTTTTGTGACGAAAATGTCCGCTGTGGTGTCTCAATTGTAATGGTTCAGACGAAGATTCTCCATTTAATTGATCGCTACCATATAATAAATCATCTTCGTGAAATCCCAAAGGTGATATTTTTATAGGTTTAACGTATTCTCGACTTATCGGCGTTTCTTGTTTATCATCACCACCACCATCGTCATCATCATCATTATCATCGTCGTTCTTTTTGGTTTCTCCTGGACAAAAAAAAAAAAAAAAAAAAATTAAAATTTATTATAATTTATTATTATTATCTTTCTTTTCGAACGCGAATAACCGAACGACCTAAAAAAAAAAAAAAAAAAAAAAAACCATTATTAATATTTTTTTTTTTACATTAACATAAAAAACTAATAATTAATTATTTAAAAATACTATATAATACATTTATCAACGAGGTATCATCATCATTATCATCATCATTATCATTATTATCGTTTGTTTCCACCACGTTTTTCTTTTTCTTTTCGATTCCAGTTTAAAAATTTTTTATTATATATTCACGATTTCGTTTCTCTCTCTCTCTCTCTCCCACTCTCTCGCTCTCTCTTCATTATAAAAAAAAAAAAAAAACATTAAACGCATTCGAGTTGTATAAAAACTGCAAAAGGTCAAAGGTTACATACATTTATAAAAGTTTATTATGTTTTTACTTTTTCCATTAACTACACAAGAGATATTATAATAATACAATCAAACCAAAGATTATAAATTCAAAAATGACCCCGAAATAAATTTTAAAATATTTAATTTAATGGAAAATATTGAATGAATGAATGAATGAATGAATGAAACTTGAAAACTATTTTATTATTATTATTTTTTTCTTCTTACACGTTTTTTTTTTTTTCTACTTACACGTTTTCTATTTTATTTATTTAAAAAATTCTTTAATTTTTTTTTGTTTTTAAACGAAAAATAATTATTTCCGGGAGTAAATAAAAAAAAAAAAAATCAATGATTCGGATAAAGCAGAAGAAAGATAAAAAAAAAAGCAGAAGAAACGAGCCAAAAGGTTTTTTTTTTTCTTCTGCTTTTTTTTTTGCACGGCAACAAAGAACAATACTAAAAAAAAAAAAAATGTCGGCGTTGTATGCATACAAATATTAACAATGAGCTATTACCCTCCTCTAAATATAATCATGCATGCACGCATAGATGCATGACAAAGACTTTAACATCCTTTGTTTTCATTTTTTTTTTCATTTTTTATAAATAAATCCTTCTTTTTAGGTACGGTAGGTTTTTTAGGTATATTGCATGTGCGCGCGTGTAAGTTAATGAATTTAATTGTTAGTAAAAGCGTGTGGGGGCTGGCTCACGATCGAGACGATTACGCAGCGCGTGCGTATCTCGGTTGCGTTTTTTTGTTTCGAATCCATTCAAGGAAAGATTCGCACGCATACGAAGAACCTACTTTACGCATTGTTTTAAACAATGTATGAAGTAAATAATAATAATAATAATAATAATAAACCTCTCACGTGTATTGTTGTGATTATGCTAATTACACGTGGATTCAAACGTGTTTTTTTAATTAAATTGTTTATACGTTTCTCTTTCCCCCTTTTTCATCGTGTAATTAGTCATTTTTTTTCTTTAAATTTTCTGCCACGATGTACTGAGTCAGTTTACCTTCCCCCCACCCCTGCTCAACAACCCTTTTCCTTTTATTCGTCTCTACTTTTCTTTTCAGAGGAAGAAGAAACGAAAAAGGTTGATGGTGATACATTTGTCGTCGTTGAGTGACGTGACTCACGCGACTTCCAAAGTGGCAGGAGATCATTACGAAAAATAAAATAATTTAATGGATCTTTTTTTTTTTTTTTTTTAAATCGTCGTCACTAGGATTATAATAATAATAATAATAATAGTTAAATTGAAATTTTTCTCCTTCTTCAACATAATCATTGCAAATTATCCTAATAAATCTAACCGACAGCATCCTTTTTTTTTTTTTTTTTTTCGAAAAAAAAATTTAAACGGCTACGTGGCACTAGTGTAAAAAAAAAAAAATTAAATTGATTTATTATACGTGAAAATTATTCGTTTAAGTTGAACGTATTTCCGGTTAGAGTAAAATATGATTTTCCTGTAAACGTATTTTAAAGTTTTTTTTTCTCTCTCTCTCTCTCTCTCTCTTTGTCTCTTTTTCTTTCGTTCGTATGATTCATTCGAAAAGAATTTTTAAATTTATTAAAATAATTTTTTTCTTTATACTATCTGGTGCCACTTCAAATATATATATATATTATTCTTATGACCTTAACACCGCGTTTTTTAAGTTCAACCTTAACAATTTTTTTTTTTGTAGTTTCCCTAAAAGTTCGTAAAACTAAAAAAATATTTAAAGGTCGATCTCGCGCTCCTTTTTTTCCTTTTTTTACTAAAAAAAAAAAATTTAGTCGTAAAAAAACCAAAACCGACAACACGCGACCCTGGATTTAGGCATTAAAATAAACCTATTCGAATAATCAATCGATTAAGCAAAAAAAAAAAATTTTCGCCTATTTAAGTAAAAAAATGTCGTCACGGGAATCATCATCAAACGATTGCAATTCTATCATAAAAACAAAACAAAAAAAATATAATTTTCAATGTCATCCCTATTTTTATCATTCTGATAATTACTCTGTGAAAAATCACTCCGCGACCGTTTTTTTGTTTTTTTTTTTTATTTACTCTATGGTGTCCGAATTCAAATCGCGTTTGATCGAACGGCGGCCATTCGATCGGCGCCATTTTTATTATTTCATTTAAATATGCATTTTTGTTTTTCGTCTTTCAAAAATCTGATTTAATTTATTATATATATAATTTGCAAATAATAAATAATTTGATTCGTTATTTACAATTAATTGTGGGATTTCCCTCCCTCCCACACCCTCCCCTCTCCCCCTTCCCCCCACGAAAAAAAAATTAATTTCTTTTTTTTTTTTTTTTTTTGTTATAACGGAAATTTTCCACAATAACACAAACCAATCGTGATTAACGCTTTTTACAAAGTTCGAATAAATATATAAATCGTTTCAACGAATCGATATATTAATATTTCAAAAAGTCATTCCATTGAATGAATGAATGAATGAATGAATGATTGATTGATTGAATTATTATTATATAAAAATATAGAAATTTTGTTTTTAAAAAAAAAAAAAATTCAAATTTTAAAACAACGCGAAATAATTTTCGAAACGATAAATGAAAAAATTAAAATTATGTTGGCAACGTGGAAATCTCCGAATTGTTTTTTTTTTTTTTCACCCTCGACAGTTTGACCAACATGACGAAAAAAAAAAATTCTAAACGTTAAAAGAAACACGTGCGTGAGAGCACTGAACAATCATTTATCTAATTTATTTAAAACATTATAAATTTAAATAATCGTTCATACGTCACAACAACAACAACAAGTTTAAATCAACGTACTCAAACGGTCGGTTAATTAAGGCTCCCCCCAAAAAAAAAGAGGAAAGACGTGACGGTGGGGGGAAATGTAAAATGAGTAGAAGAAAAATTAGTTACGCCCCTGACCAAAATCGATTTAAATTAATAATTAAAAGTCGGGATTTATTTTAATTTAATGACCGAGAAAAGATGTAAAATCGAAAAAAAAAAAAAAAAAGGCGAAACTTGTAATTTAAATTAATAATAATAATAATAATAATAATAATAATAATAATAATAATACTAATAATAATAATAATAATAATAATAATAATAATAATAATAATAATAATAATAATAATAATAATAATAATAACGTATTTCCTTTATAAAAAAAAATAATAATAATAATCATTTACACGTTTGAGACTTACAAAAAAAATGTTTTCTTTGTTAAACAAAAAAAAAAAAAAAAAAAAACAGAGAATCAAATCCCATGAGTTATAAATAATAAACGACGACGCCATTTTATTTTTTTCCGCGATGATGATAATAATGATGATGATGATGATGATGATGATGATATTTTTCACCCGAAGCGGAAAAACATAAAACTAAAAAATATATATATATATATATATATATATGCGATCGTATATTTTATCGCGAGGGTGTAGTGTGTGATATACTAACGAGACTAATAATAATAATAATAACAATAATAATGATGATGATGATGATAATAATAATAAATATTTATTGAAAAAAAAAAAAATTTCAAATTCAAGTTCGAACGATATATATATATAATAACTTTAAATTAAAAACATGTATTTATAATAAATAAATGCAAATTTAAAAATGCAGTAATGCAAACAAAACAAATCAAAAAAAAAAAAAAATCGATTCGTTGAAAATTCCATTGCCAACTAACAAAAAAAAAATAAATAAATAAATCAACGAGAGAATCTTTTTCTTTCTTTTTTCGTTACTTTTATTTAAATTATTATTATTTTTTTTTTCTATTTTTGTGCGTGCGCGTGCACGTGTGCGTGTGCGTTTGAGATGTTTCGTTCATTCAGGTCTTTGTTCTTAATTTTTTACATATAATATTGATGATTTGGATAAAAAAAATAAAATAAAATTTATGCATACCAACTTGACGAAATGAAAAAAAAAAAAAAAAAAAAAATTAATGCATTTTCATGCAAGGCGTAATAATTTTTTTTCTTTTTGTCAAAATAATCTCTTCTTACATTGACATGACAAAAAAAAAAAAAAAAAAAAACTTTACATCGAGTTTATTACCCTCATAACTTATTTAAAATATACACCAAGATTTTTTTAAACGGGGAAGTAGATACAAAATACAAAATAGAAATAAAAAAATTCTTTTGTGTTCTTTCCCCGGCTTTTAAATGGCGCGACTCTGATCTCATTTAAATTTATTTATTTGAAATTCATATTATTATATTCATATATTTATTTGAATTTTTTTTTCTTCTGCTTTTTTTAAAAAAAAAAAAACAGATTATCGTGGCATTTACAAAAATTTAAAAAAACAAAAAAAAAAAATTTTGTTTTCAAAAAAAATAGTCGTAAATAAAAGTCGTAAATAAAAATTAGCGAAATGGGGCGAACCCAAACATTGAAACCTGATTCTTTTGAAATTTAGGAGTGTCTTTTCTTTTATTATTATTATTATTTCATTCTCTCTCTCTCTCTCACTCTCTCACTCTTTAAGCTTCTTTTATTCATTTACATTCAATCCGTATTGAAAAAAAAAAAAAAAAAAAAAAATCAATTATTGAAAACTCATTAGAATAGCAAATAATGTGTAGAAGAAGAAGAAGAAGAAGAAGGAGGGATATTAGTCGAGCCTTTGAACTTTTAAATAAAATTATTATTATTATTATTAACGAGAATCTGTTTGGTTAGTTAGTGCCACGTTTAAATTATTTAAAATTGAATTTCGTTTTGTTTTTATTTTGTTAAAAACTAAATTTGACGCTATTTTCTCTCTCTCTCTCTCTCTTCCTCTCTCTCTCTCTTCCTCTCTCTTTCTCTTCCTCTCTCTTTCTCTTCCTCTCTCTCTCTCTCTCTCTCTCTTTCTTTCTCTTTCCCCCCTTTCTCTCTCTTTCTTTTTCTTATTAATCAAAGAAAAAAGAAAAAAATTGCAATCAATCAGAGTGTTTCGTAACGTTTTTTTTTTTTTTTTTTTTTTTTTTTTTTACGATTGGTAACATTGTTAACTCTCTGACATTAATCGTTAATT